CAAATAAGGCAGGTGTTCGAGAGGATCAGATCTCAGATCTACGCGTACGAACTCCGGATCTAGGCTTGGTCTTAGATCCCGAGACTTGGACGATTGTTTCCTTGGTGAAACAATCCTCCCCGGCTATTATTTCCTTGGTGAAATAATACCCGTCGTACTGCGTAGATCCGACCGGATCTAGATCTCGCGGTGGTCCACGGCAAACAACCCCGGCGCAGGCAAAGAACCCACCAAGCGAGCGACCGCAAAACAGGAGCTCGCGATTCGTTCGTCAAATAAGGAAACAAAGTTGTAATCTTTCTTTATTTTTATTTTGACTTTCATTGTAACCGGATCTTATAAAAAGATCGGATCTTTTGTAACCGATAAACTGTTGTAAAAGAAAACAATGGAATCAATGAAGAAGAAAGCAACGATTTTTCCCGCGAACACTATTGAAGAGGATTAGTGAGGAAAATTTGGAGGAGATGAAATAAAGAAATCATTACCTTTATTTGCTTCTTCTCCTGCGGTAAGGTACATCTGATGGTGAAGTCTACGGGTAATATTTCTTCAGAAATTTACCATTAATAGGCATCATAAGTTTGTGGCCATCTTGGGTGATAAGATGATAGGGTCCATTTGAGTAGACAGTTTCTACTATAAATGGCCCTTTCCATTTTGGCTCAAACTTCCCTTTCTTCTTAGAGTTCAAAATCATTGGACGCCGAACTGTAAGAACCAAGTCGCCTTCTTTGAACGTGCGATATCTAACCTTCTTATCGAACGCTCTGGAAATCCGAGCTTGATAAAGCTCAATGTGTTGCTGAGCCAATAGTCGTTTTTCATCAAGCGCTTCTAATTCTTCAAGACGTCGGTGATGACTCTCCTCCGTCGTCATACCAATTGCGAGTGCTATTCGTAAAGATGGAATTTGGATTTCTAATGGTAATACGGCTTCACATCCGTATACTAAGGAATATTGTGTGGCCCCTGTCGGCGTGCGAACCGTTATGCGATAAGCCCACAAACTTTGACCCAACTTCTCATTCCAATCTCTTTTATTTGTTGACACTACCTTAGTGAGAATTCTGACGATGGTCTTGTTAAATGCTTCTGCTTGCCCATTAGCAGCAGGATTATAAGCCGTTGAAGCTAAATTCTTGATCCTAAATTTATCACAATATCGGGTGGAGGCTTGGCTAACGAATTGGGGCTCATTATCATGAATGATACATCTTGGAATGCCGTACCTGTATACGATATGATGTTTTAAAATTTTAACAACATCATTCGTATTAACTTCTCTCAACGGGATTGCTTCTACCCATTTAGAAAAGTAATCAGTTATCGCTAAGATGAAGTGATATCCTTTGGAAGAGGGTGGTGTCACTAGGCCAACAATGTCCATTCCCCACGTTTCAAAAGACCAAGAAGTGGTTGACGGATGAAGATGCTCGGGCGGTCGATGCATGTAATTAGCATGTATCTGGCAGACATGACATCGTTTAGCATAAGCGACAACGTCTTGTACCATGTTAGGCCAGTAATAACCCAATCTACGTAGTCGGTCCCATAACTTAGGATCAGGCTGATGAGCTCCACAGATACCATCATGAGCTTCTTTAAGAGCTTCTTTTGCTTCTCTATTTGACAAACAGCGAAGCAAAAGCCCATCGTATGATTTTTGATACAGAGTCTAGGATTGAGAATCATAGTAGAATCTAGGTGCTCGTCTACGAATAGATTCTTTTTCTTTGATGTCCTCAGGCAATAAGCCGTATCAGACATAATCGATGATTGAAAATCGCCAATCTTTAGGTTCGAGCGTTGTAGGTTCCTCTTCAACTGCGTTGATCTGCAGTGTATACTTTGATTTGAATAATTGTCTGCTTATCACTGTGACCTGCTGGGTAGTACTTTCAGGTAGAGCTAAGGTAGCCGCCAGTGACGCCAATGCATCAACATAGGTATTCTTAAGATGGGGTATATGGTCGATGTAGAAGCCCTCAAAGGAATCGATCAATATGATTGCTGTTGTATGGTAAGGAATGAAGTCTTCATTCCTAACCTCATATTCTCCCTTCATTTGATTAACAATGAGTTGAGAATCCCCGTACACTTCTAGGTGTTTCACCCTCAGCTATTTGGTTATATCTAGGCCAACCAACAAAGTATTATATTCAGCCACATTATTAGAACACAGCTCTGTTAAAGAAACAACGCATGAGAGTATGTGATTTTTGGGAGAGATAAAGACAACCCCCACTCCAGCTATAACCCGACCAGTAGAACTTGTCCTTGCTGCACCATCGAAGTACAATTGCCATACTTGTTCTCTAGAGACGATGTTTGCTTCATACGTCTCATCAGGTATGTCCTGGTATAATTCGACCTTTTCTTTCAGTGGATGATTAGCCATAAGGTCACAAATAGCCTGACCTTTCACTGCTTTTTGAGGTTTGAAGTGAATGCCATATTAGGAAAGCAACAAAGCCCATCTGGCGAGTCTCCAATTCAATGCACTAGGTTGCGTTCTGAATAGGATTGATCTGGGAAATGACATGTATGGTTTGTCCAACCAAATAATGTCGCATTTTCTGAACTGTGAAGACCATCACCAAATATTCCTTCTCAATAAGAGGATAACGAGGTTCAACACCCGATAGAATCCTACTGAGATAGTAGACAGCTTGTTCATGGCCGTTTTCATCATCTTGTGCCAAGAGTCCTGCTAATGCATGATCTGTAGCCTGGATGTATATCAAGAAAGCTTTACCTGACTTCGATGCAACCAATATCGGTGGATTGGAGAGATATTGCTTAATCTCTTTGAACGCTTTCTGGCAAGCCTCATCCTACATAAAGGATACTCCTTTCTTCATTAGTTTTGAGAATGGTTGGCATTTCCCAGATAGGTTAGAAATGAACCTGCGAATATACACCAATCGTCCTTGTAAGCCTCAAAGCTCCTTAAGATTTCTGGGAGGTGGTAGCTCTTGGATAGCCTTGACTTTATATGGATCCAAACGAATTTCGTTAGTCGTGACCACGAATCCGAGAAATTTACCGCTAGCCATCCCTAAAAATGACTTAGTCGGATTCATCTTGAGTTGGTGCGCTCGCATAAGATCAAACATTGTTTTCAAGTCATGCAAATGGTTTCCCTTGTCACAACTTTTAACAACCAAGTCATCAACGTAACATTCTACAGTCTTCCGTAGATGTTTCTGAAAGATAGAGGTCATAGCGCGTTGATAGGTAGCGCCCGTATTTTTCAATCCAAAGGACATTACTATATAACAGTATATCTCTGAAGGTGTTCGAAAGGATGTATGCTTGTCATCATCAGGATACATTTTGATTTGGTTGAACCCTGAGAATCCATCCATGAAGGACATCCTTTCAAACCCGCACGTATTGTTAATACTAACGTCCGTGATAGGTAAAGGAAAATCATCTTTAGGACAAGCTGAATTCAAGTCACAAAAGTCCATGCACACTCGAATCTTCCCGTTCTTTTTCAGAACAGGGACAATATTGGCCACCCAATCAGGATGTTACTCTTCATGGATAAATCCCGATTCAATGAGCTTTTTGACTTCCGCTTCAATTGCTTCCATAATTTAGGGCCGAAATCGCGTTTGTTGTTGTTTAACAGGCTTGATGTCTGGTTTGATATTTAATTGATGCATAGCCACTTGGCGATCAAGCCCAGGCATATCCTCATAGTTCCAAGCGAATACATTAATATACTCTCGTATTAGGGTAATAAGATCTTCTTTCTCTTCTGGCAACAAGCTGTCGCTTATGAATATGAGTTTCAGATTAATCTCGTCTCCCATGTTCACTTGAATAACCTTGTCATCAGTAGGGGGTTCGTGTTGTTCAAAATGGTGTTCCCACTGTATACCCAGTTGTCAACTTAATGGATCATCAAACAGAAGTAATTGATCATCTTCCTGATTCTCTATCGGAGATACCGAGGTCATGTTGGCCATGAGTACCTTGAATACAACTCCTGTACTGGTATCGGATTCCCAGCAATTAGATTCAGAAGATGAGGTGAAAGAGTCATCATCTGACTCTCCTTTGGTCCCGAAACGCAGCATAAATGGTGGAGATTCATAACCCAATCCACTATGAGTTTTGTGATAATAATCCTCCGACTTTCCTTCCGGGACATACGCAGATCGTATTGGTGCTTGAATCCCTCTGCCGAAATTTAAGCCCTATTTATGGATAAAATCGTATCTCATATTCTTCATAAGCTTTCGGGTTGTTGGAGTAAAGTATGAGAGTTGCGGATCCCTTTCCTCTTTCTTGGATTCTTCCAAAATATCTTACACCGGGCCATCACTCTTTTCGAAGATGATATCTTTTTGACCGTTAACCTTAGCTGTTACTATGAAGACTGCTTGTGAATATTCGATTTGTCGTCGATTTGTCACAAAAGACGACTGAACCGGCATGTATAAATTTGATTCAGCATATAACTTGGATAGCGGATCCGCTATCACATCAGTGTTTGTACCTGGGATGTTAGGATTCAATTCTACACGCGAGAAGTAAGCTAAATCATTATTATTAAAGATAACTCTGCTATCCTCATAGACAGGATCATTTACATCCAGATCTTCAAGATCGATTATGATGGGTTCTATGTTATTAAAAACAAGACCTTGTTCGTGTTCAGACTCGATATCGGCTTCATTATCGCTATCTGGTTCTTCGCTCAGTGGTACCTTAAATGGCTCACCATCAAGATGATGGATAGAATCAATGAAATAATTCTCTACCCCCTTAAATGGTTGCTTCTCTGCGACCACTGTTTTGACTTCACCACTCTCACCTACATATTTCATGCATTGGTTTAGAGTTGATGGAACCATTAAATTGTTATGGATCCATGGTCGACCCAGTAACAAATTGTAAGATGTCTCTTCATTGATGGCGTAGCAAGTGACATCCGTCCTCAAATCACCCATCTGGCATTTGAGTTTGATTTTGCCAAGGGGACGGGTATTAGAGGCATTGAAGCTATATATGGTGGTTCTCGTCGTTGATAAACGATGCAGAGGAACTCCAAGGTGATGAACGAGCCGCAATGGAATGATGCTCAAAGCAGAACCAGGATCAACTTGAATTCTGTCTACCCGAATAGAGCCGATGTACCCTGTGAAGTATAACGGTCTATCATGTTTCGGATTTCTCACATGCATGTCTTCTTAAGAAAAGGTGATGCACGGCATTCTTCTTTGAAAACCTTGACAACATTGAGGACAAGCTTCTTCCATCGTTGTTCCGGCTAGATTTTGGAGGAAAATGAGCGAGGAAAGTCTTGTTATCCGCCAATGCTTCACGAAGAGCTTCTCTCGTTGATCGAGATAAACGTAGAAGCTCAAACAAGGTAATCATTGCTGGGATATTGGCTAACTGAGCCAGCACATCAAACCGAAAAGAATCTTTCGAACTCTCCGGTGTATCTTTCCTGAGTGCTTTGCTGTAACGAAGTTCCTTAGCTTGAGCTTGCGCTGCTACTTCTTTCCCTGTGGTGCAGCTACTGTTTCAGAATATTTCTTCAAATACTCGTTTCCCCCACGTGTTCCTGATATCTGTGTAGGTTGTGCAGCAAAGGCTGGCTGCTTATTTTCAGAACTGCTAAGTGACGCAGTTTCAACCCCCTCATCTGGGATGGCCGACACAGCATTGCAGGATCTTCATGTGGCTCTAGGTTTCTTTGAGTTTGCCAATGTCCAATGTTCGTCCATTAGTAAGTCAGGATGAACCCACATCAATTCACCTTTAGGGGTAGTGTAAGGGACCATCCCTTTCTCTTTCTTCCGATGCGGGTCGAAGTTTACCACTATCGCCTCTGCTTGAGGAATCGGTTTCACACCGTCTTGTACTTGCACCTCGGCAAAATCTCCAAATTGAAACGAGACCATATTCGCAGATGTGATGCCCCTGGGTTCACACAAGGCTGCAGTCCAAGGTGAAACCAAGAATGTCAAACTTGCCTTGCACCTCACCGTGCAATAACATGTTTCACCATCACAATTAACATCTATCTAGCAGAGTCAAAAATAGGTGTAGGTACAAAAGCAAGTAAAAGATAGTGCAAGAAATAACTGATGAAGTGATAGTGATCACATAAATATCTCATCATCCAACATACAGAAATACATAGCCAATGTCTGAATAGATAACTGGAATACTCAACAAGTCTCAAGTACAAATATCTGAGTAAAGGAAATAAGGCATACAGCCTTTACAACATCTAGAGAATAGTCCTCAAATGTCAAACAAATCTACAGTGGAGCTCCAAAATAAAACATAGCTAAAATAGACAGCTGAACACTAAAGTGTGTCGCCATCAACCTGCGACTCTCCGGGCTCCTGGCTCGTTACCTAAAAGGGGAAGGGGCAACGAGCGTCAAAGCGCTAGCGAGCAATATCACAACCAACCCCAAGGGAACAGGGCTCGTTGTATAAGAAAATATAGATAATACATAATAGATCTAAAATCATTGATCTTACTAAAGAGGATTTTTAGTATTTAGGAATTTACAAGGTATATACGTCGAGCGAAATAATCCAAACAAGGAAACCCTCATGTATATACCTTGTATCTCAAATTATAAATTCTAATCCAAACAAGGAAACCCTCATGTATA